GCTGGCCCAGATATAAAAACTATATTGCAAGAAGGTTGGATTGTCTGCTTACATTTTTCTAGGCTTAAAAGATTTTTTGCTGGAGACTATGCACCCTGCCTGTCACTAGCTACCTGTCCATGCAAATGTTCAAGTTGCTGCATGCCTTGGTCTTGCTCTGTCTGCCTAGCTACTAGGCTGAACTTTGATTAAACTGAAGTTTCCTACCACAGTTATCACATGAACCTACACAGGTGATCTGTTTTCATAGATTTAATACACATGTGCATCAATACAAGTAAAACTGGGGAAATCTGAATAAGATCAGTAGAAGCTGTAATTGTCATTGCATCTACTGATCTTATCGGTTGTGATATTATACCACAGCTTTGCACAATGCTACTAATCGGGGGAACCTGGGCAAAGTGTACAGCGAGTGCTCTGTTTTATTTCTTACAGCTGCATGAGCATGGACAATTATTTCATAAAAAATTTCAACCAAAAAGGGGTATAAAGCTACTTGTAGCCAGCCGTCAATATGTCTTCAATATGTGGAGAAAGAACATATGTATTAAGAAGGTAAATAGCCCTAGTCGATTTGGCTCAGTGGATAGAGTGTCAGCCCGCAGATTGAAAGGTCCCGGGGTTCAATTCCAGTCAAGGGCACGTACTGCGGTAGCAGGCTTAATCCCCGGCCCTGGTCTGGGCATATTCGGGAAGCATTAAATTGATGTTTCTCTCTCACATTGATTTTTCTCTCTGTCTCCCCGCCCCCCTTCCACTTTCTCTAAAAATCAATGGAAAAACATCCTCAGGTGAGAATTAACAACAACACTAACAAAAAAGAAGGTAAATAAACAAAGTAAAGGGAATAATACTTACTAAATGTTAACTACATAATAGGGAATGTGCTGAGCATTTTCTATGCAAGGCTTCAATCCTCACAACACTATGAGATATTATTAGTAGTATTAGAATTAGTATTGGTATTAATATTAGTATTAGTATTATCTCTGGTTTTGATGAGGAAACTGGGACTGAGAGAGCTTAAATATTTTTTCCCAGGGTCACAGAGTCAAAAAGCAGCTGGGTAGGAACCAAACCCAGGTCTGAAGCCTGCTACACTATACAAAACATGGGGCAAGGAATCTTTGTTTCTCTGGAGGGAGAAATCATAGGTAGGAATGAGGAAAGCATTTCAGGGGAGGTGCAACTTGAAGGACCCTGCAGGATCTTGGCCTTGAAGGACCAGAAGAGCCAAGCTAGCAACAAGCCATGCTAGGGCATTTCAGACAAGAAGATGGAAAACACACCATTTGAGAAAATGCTTCATTTTCCAGATGAGGAAACCAATGGGTATGCCTGTTTTGCCTCTCAGAAGTAGATGGAAGCAATATTCTGGAAGGTCTTAAATGCTAAGGCAATATGATAAGATCTTCCTAATAAGGCCAAGGTTGTATGTGAATCACCAAAATTCACAAGGGAACCCAAGTACAATATATAGAAGCTCTAACACAAACCAATCCATTCCCAGGACCAAACAATGGGAAGCAATGTCCTCTTGGAAAGTTGGTATGTGAAGGGAGCCACGGACTATACTTATGACAGTGAAAGCCATGAAGTGGTTGAGACTGATCATCGTAGAATCATACTTGACTATACCTGGAATTTAATCTAGTATCATGTAGCTACTTACTAATTTCTGAGTGCCTATTATGCGGTTAGCACTATTCCAAGGGCTTAGGATATATCAGTGAACAAAAGGTAGTGACCAAACTCCCTGCCACCAGGGAGCTCACCTTCTAGGCTTAGTGCTTATTTCTGATCAGAAAGACTCTTGTCAGAACCTAAGAAGACATTTCCATACTGTACACTTGAGACCCCATGACTCCAGAGAGAAATACAAGACCCTCTGGGGTGAGGCTGGGCAGCTCTGTCAAAGGACAGGCACAGCACTTCGGATTTAGGAGTGAGGATGATCTTACCCCCAGTGTGGCTACAGGGAAACTTAAGATGGGCAGCTTGTCAGGTCTTGCCTCTGAGTTGGATCAGAAAAGTGAGATCAAACCCAAGGTGAAGGATTGGCGGAGTACCCTTGAAGATGATTCAAGTTAACCTGGGGTACCCTCTCTGTTTTCCACTCCCAAACTGGGATTAACTTTGGCATCTTCCATAAAAGTAGAGAAACTGGGGGCTTTCCAATCCTAGCCTGGGGCAGTATTATTTCAAGACAAAGCAGAACAAGATGGCCTTGCATTGTAAAAGCAGGAAAGGAAGATAGGAAGTAAGTATACCTGGAGATCTAGGTGTGGACAGGAGATAGAATTTTAGTCTACAAAATAGGCTTGTGTTTATAACGTAGAATTAGAGATATGGAATTTTTCCCAGAATGCTAAGAGCAACATACAGATGAAGAGAAAATACTAAAAGATAAGATGCTGGTCACTGTCTCTACAAAAGACACCTAAGGTAAGTGAATAAGGCAAGAGCCAAGAGTGGGCAAATTTACTAAATGTTACTCCCAACCAGGGATCTTTGATCATTGCAAATTTTTAGTTTCCCACAAGCCTCAAAGGTCTGAGAATACATATTTAAAATGTCCTTGGACTTCGTTATGAAAAGATTCATTAATCTTTTGTGGGGAAAGTATTTTAAAGTTTGATTTCATTCCCATTGACCCCCTTCCATGCTTTTGTGTCACATTTACAAGAATATTTAGTCATTTGCTATAAACCTGGCTCTACTGCATATGTGTGTTAGAAACACAGACATTTCCTGCAATTCTTCAGTAACTTTTTGCACGGGTAAAAGAATCTGTACTCACTATGCCACTTTTCCTGTGGCAAAATGTTCTTGCTTTCGTCAAGGTGAAATACTTGCCAGAGATAAAGAAATCCTATTTCAAATTCCAAGTTGCACAGAACTGCTCTTCAATATACAGCTTTCATTCACATTTCTGGTTGTCCCTTGAGTGAGAGCTCAGCTCTGCTACTGGGCACAGCATAGTGAGAAAGGGCAAGCTTTCTCAAAAGTCATGTTCCTGGTTCTGAGATAATAGTCATGCCACAAAACACAGGGGGACCTTGGGCATATAGCTGGTGAGCTGGGTGTGCATCATGAATGTGTGAGTATGTACGTGTGAATGTGTGAGCAAAAGGCCCATAAGAACTTCAATAGACTCCTGCCGGGTAGCTCTGTTGGTCAGAGCATCATACTGACATGCCAAGGTTGCAGGTTCGACCTCTGGTCCAGGCACATACAAGAGTCAACCAATGAAGCATAAATGGGTAGAGTAACAAATTGATGTTTCTCTCTCTCTCTCAAAGTCAAAAAATAATAACATAATTTTGGTTTTAAAAAAAACTTTGATAGAGACAAGAATGTGCACAAGACAGACAACCCTGGCCCCAAAGATGGCCCATTGTGTTAGCTGCACTGCCAGTAAACAAGTGAGCAGGCTGGTCAACATGAGTCTAGATCTCAGAATTTAGTTCAGGCACAAGCTGGGGATGACTAGGGGGGCTCCTTCCCTTAGCTCCTCTCAATTTTGGGCAATTGAAGAGCTAGAAATTGCCCCCCACAGTGAGGGTCTAAAACTAACAGTGTCAATAGCTCCCTCCTGTCCACTTCCTGGCTATTTCACATCTCCCCCCAAAAACTGTAATAATTAATTTATCCAAAGAAAGGCTCAATATGGGTAAACAACTGAGCCACGAAGAGCATTTTACAAATAGAAAAGGAAATGCTATATTTATTGACATGCAAAAATTAATATTGTAACTGAATTTTGCATTGATATTTGGCCCAACCACTTCCATAAACTTATCTTGGGCATGAATCTGTGGTCATGGGCACGTGTTCAGCAAAGTGGTGGGTATTAAACAACCAAATAGGATAAATCCGCTCTCGTGCAAAAAGTAAAGTAGAAATGGGGCTTTTGTATGTCAGTTTGCCCAGTGGAACAGAACAATTTGCTCAGTAAAAAAGCTGCCTCAGAGCTGGAGGTTTTTAGATTGCCTATCTTATGGCTGGACTGTTAGAAATCAATGTATTAAATTTTTACTTTTTCACAGTGAGTTTAATAATTTGGAATGCATTTGAGAATATTTTATTTTATTTTTTGGAGTATGTCAAGTCTTCTATAAAAACAAGACTAGGCTCCTATATAAAGTTGGGGGAAGGGAGAATGCAAGATATAGTAAAAACAATTGATTACTCTTCTTAGGTACTTATTTACTAAATGAAATCTTGGTCACAGTATAGCATTGCCTCAAAGCCCATTGGAAGCCTTTAAAATTAAAGATATAATAAATTCATATATCAAGTACAACATCATCTGTGCATTAATTATCCCCAGGAATTTAATTCCATCTCTTTAAAACATACCCCCAAATCAGTAGCAGGGGCAAATAAATATACTTCCTGGCAGTATTTTCTTAGACTCTTTTATACTTTGTGGTCTAAGCAAAACAAAACAAAACACACATCCGATCCAAACATCCCACCAGCCCAGCAAAAATCTGCATTGTCTACTCTGTCCAGCATCCCCGAGTGAATTCTTCAAGTCCTTCAGACACACAGAAATCCTTCATTTATACTATGAATTCTGATGAAAGCCAGCATTTACCATTTTCAAAGTGCCCCCTCCCAAATGACTAAAAAGAATGTTTGTTTTTGTTTTTCTTTAAAGGCTACACCCAAAACATGTGTTTGAAAAACTTTCTGAATAGTGATATTGCTGATAAAACACATGCAGCTAGACGAACTATCAGGTTTCTTTGTCCAGCTGTCCAGAATCCCATTAGTGCCTCTGACTTCTCTCTTCTTTTGCTATAATTAGGATGGCTTAGGGTTTATCTGGGCCTTTTTTCAAAACCAGATTTCCTTCCTAGCAGCAGCAGCAGCTGTCATTCACAAGTGCCCTGCCGGTACTTGCACAGCAATCGGGAATGGAAGTGAAGGGACACACACATACACACACACATCTTTATCTTGTGATTTTTTAAAAAGAGGAACCTTACCTGAGGATGATCACTCTGGTCTGGAGCCCAGCTTGTTTCACAGAAGTCATTAACCTGCACCCCTTCGCCCTCCGAGTTCGGGCTCCCTTCCCGGGGGGGAGCGCCTGGGGGGGGTTGCAGCCTTTTTGCATCTTGCTCTGCTTGGGGTAGAAGAGCCCTTTCTGCATGGACCTGAGACTTCAGATCGGGAGCTTCCCCTGTGGCATGCGAACGCTCCTTTTTATCGCTCTGGGTTCGGGGGTGCTCAGCAGACTCCTGGGGAGGGAGGTGATTGAGGGCGCCTTCTGCTGCGCTGTCTTTCAGGCTGGGACTCCGCTTCTTGGGTTTTCCCTTCAGGCCTGGTCGCCGTGCCTGGGCAGGTTTCTCTGAGCTCCTCTTGCTCTGTAAATCCTTTTCCCCTCCTTTGTCCTTGGGCACCGTCTCCAAACTCTGGTGCATCCCTGGCTTTTCTAACTCACCAGACAAGCGCTGCACCTCTCCCGGTGTCACTGCTTTATCCATGGTTAGCAGATTGTCGCCCGCGAGTTCCGCTCCTGCTTGGTGGCTGTCTCTGGTTTCGCCTTGAATTCCTGGATAATCATTTTCGGCAGAAGTGGTGGGTCGCTTATATCTCCCCTGCTCTGTCACCGTAGACGTCCCATCCTCGTGAGATCCCAGAGTCAGAGTCATCCCTGTGTGTGGGGCTCGGGGGCTGGGGGTGGAGGCTCGGAGACGCCTTACCCTCACTCCTTGGGATCCGGAGTGATCACCACAGAAGCCTGCGGAGGCCAACATCTGCCCAGTGTTATCTGACACCGGAGGCCCACAACCCATTTCACTGAAGAAAGGCTCATGCTCCCCCAGGCAATACTTGCTGAATTCCACCTCTTCGTCATCGCTTTCTAATAAAAAAATGCACTCAGTCCCCTCCAGGTGCCTTTGCCAAACTGCATTAGAGTAATCCGTCATAACGTCGGAACATTCCAGATACTCCAGGTCATCATCTGAAAACTCCTCGGTGTAGGTTAGGGTTATCTCTGGGCAAAGTTCATAGTCGCTGTCAGAGTCTGTGCTGGAAACCTGTGGGCTGACCTGCTCGTCAACAGTGGCCCTGTCACCTGGGTAGATGGATGTGGCTGCCTCTGACAGCGATAGGCTGGCGCTAATGTACTTCTGTGTCTTGGGATTTTGATGGCTAGAGTGTAGGTCTTCATCATGGGTTAAGGCGCCATCCGTTAACTTTGATAATTTGGACTGCACTGTCCCGTGACGGTAGACATCCTCCTCAATTCGACTTGTGCTTTTCTGCTCATGTGTTTGTGTCTCACGTTTCCAACCCGTATCCCCATCATCTTGTGGGTTAGGGGTGAGTTGTGTGTTCTTCGACGCACACTCGACTTCAATGGAAGCAGAACAGCAGATCATTCCATAACTGTTTTTAGCAGAAATCTGGTAAGTAGCAGCGTCATTTTGGGTGCAGCTAGGGATGAAGAGAACAGACAGGTCAGGTACCACGGGTGCACGTGCATGCCAGCATTTCTCCCGTTGTGGCACACAGGATATAGACATGATTTTTACTGCACACTCAGGGACGTCTGTGGTCTCTCTGGGAAAGGGTTTGTGGTCAGAGGCAGCTGGCTTCTGTGCTCCATCTGCCCCAGTTCTGCTAAGAACCCTGCAAAGCTCAACGTCTTGCCTGAAGACTTCCCACAGCCTTACCCCAAATTGAAAAGGCTGAGAATTACTTAGATGAATGGGAAGATGCTGTATATTCTAGTCTCTTCTCTCCTTTTATTTTAAGCCAGGCTTATGCTATGGGACTTTGTAAAAGCAATACTTTCTGGAGTGAGGCATTATATATAAGTAACTGGAGTCTTCTACCTCATACAGTAGATCCATGTAAGCAATGACTCTTTAAGGCCATGCTAAGAAGGCCTGCTTCTTACCAGGAGACTATAAAGATAACACCATAGTAGGATCGTGTGCATCAGGAATAGTGCTATTTCTCTTTAATTAACCTGATTATTAGATCCAAACCATAGTCAGGGAGACTCTGGGTGGAAGCCCCCGTCCATGTGCCACTTAACTTAGGTAATCCAAGCCCAGTGTTCCGCTTTGGCCCAGCAGGGAAGGGACTGGGTCCTGGATCGTGCCAAGCTTGCTCCCCTTATTGACTGGAGTCACGTGGAGCCTAGAGCCTGACATGCTTTGCTGACCTTTTCCGCTAGAATCCTCCTCCAGGCTCTGCAGTCCCAATAAAAACTCGTTTCACTTGCTCTATAATTTGCATTCTCATTGATCTTGTTTGACATCAGGGTAATTGGAACATTGCTGATCTCACTCTGTGTATTATCCAGCTAAGAAGTCAACCACATTCAGAAGGCAGGAGCTGGGAGCCTGGCTGGGCCTTAGAGGCGGTGCTTAGACCTTTCCTGACTGATCTGTGTAAAATGTGCACAAACGTCTAACCCGGAAGGTCAGTGTTAGACACGCACAGCTATGGCCCGTCGTCTTTCGTATCCTTCTTCCTCGTTGGAGGGGCCCCTTTGTCTCCCTGAGTTCACATGTGCTCATAAGCCCTCAAACGTTGGGTGCCAGCTCACAAAGTCCTCATTTTTGGAAATCACAGACTAATTCCACTTGTTCACAGGTTGTTTTGTTGATAACCTGGTTCCCAAGTAGAAGCCACTCAGGGGTGGCTGGAATTGGCCACCCCTGACCCATAGCTAATATCTAACTTTGCTCGGGGAGACTGAAATTTAGGGCAACTTTCTGGGGAAAACAGTACCTGCTTCTGTCTATTTTATAAGGTTATTCTGAGGTTCAAAAGAGAAAATCAGCCCTGGCTCATGTTGGTCAGTGGTGAGAGCACCACCCATGCACCAAAAGGTCACAGGTTCGATTCCAGTCAAGGGCACATAGAGTGGTCCCAGACTGTGAGAGGGCACAGGCCGGGCTGAGGAACCCCCCTCCCCCTCGAGTGCACAAATTTTTGTGTACCGGGCCTCTAGTATATATATATATATGCCTAATATGCTAAGTGTCCACCCGATCAGTGGACCATTCAGTCGACTGCTCCACCAGTCTCTGTGACACACACTGACCAACAGGGGGCAGATGCTCTGACCGGTAGGTTAGCTTGCTGCTGGGGTCTGGCCAATCGGGACTGGACGAGAGGAGCTGGACATGCCCTGGAGCCCTCCTGAGGTCCCTCCCTGGCCAACCAACCTGCCACGGTCCCTCCCCAGCCTCTAAAATATCTCTTCTAATTAATTTCCCTTCAATGTGCATGAATTCGTGCACTGGGCCTCTAGTATAAATATATCAAATCAATATGTTGTAAACCTTAAACTTATACAATGTTGTATGTCAAATATAACTCAATAAAAAAAGAAAAGGATGGGTAAGTGCTAAGACCAGGCTACTTCTGATTCTCAAGAAGTTTACGAAATAATCATCAGGGACTTTATTTAAAATTCTTGAATCAGAATCTGTGGTTAAAAGACCTGAGAATCTGCTTTTAAAGAACTTTACACTGGGCCAGCCCTGGCCAGTAGCTAAGTGGTTAGAGCATCTGTCCGCACATCAAAGGGTTGAGGGGTTCGATTCCAGTCAAGGGCACATACTTGGGTTTCAGGTTCTATCCCCCAGTCCTGGTCAGAGCACATGCAGGAACCAATCAATATGTCTCTCTCACATTGGTGTTTCCCTCTCTCTCTTCCCCCACCTTCTACTCTTTAAAAATTGATGGAAAAAAAATATCCTCAGGTAACAATTAACCAAAAAGAGAGAGAAAATCAATGTGAAAGGGCTTTGCAAAGCAGAAACTTTATGCAATGTGTATTCTATAAGAATGTGGATAGAGTTATTAGCTAACCCAACTATGGTAATCATATTGCAATAT